GTATGCAATACATTATGTCCAAATAGTGCCATACAGTATGTAGTGTGCCAAATACAATGGAAAACTCTATGTATGGCTGCTGAAGGTGAGCTGTTTAGCAGTCTTATTGCCTGGAGGCAGAAGCTGTTCTGTAATCTGTTGGTCTTTGACTGAATGCTTCGATACCGTTTACTTGCCGGAAGGAGAGAAAACAGTTTGTGACTGGGATGACTGGGGTCCTTGAGAATAGACCTGGCCTTCTTAAGACATCTAGCTGAGTAGATATCCTAGATGTTTGGTAGCTCACAGCCGGTAATGAGCTGCGCTGACTTCACCACCTTCTGCAGTGTTTTGCGATCCAGGGCGGAGCAGTTCCCATACCAGGCAGTGATGCAGCCAGTCAGGATACTCTCAATTGTGCACCTGTAGAAGCTGGTCTGGATATTTGATGGCATGCCAAACTTTTTTAGCCTGTGGAGAAAGAATAGGCGCTGCCGTGCTGTTTTGACCACGATGTTGGAGTAGTGAGACCAGGTTAAGTCCTCGGTGATGTTAACTCCCAGGAACTTAAAACTGCTGACCCTCTCCACTGCAGTCCCACTGATGTAGATAGGTGTGTGACCTCTTCCCTGACAATTCCTATAATAATATATATCATACATTATATACAGTATATACAGTAATAATATCATTAGTGTGATCAGCACAAAACCTTGATTCTCTGTTAAATTGGATTTGGCTCCACTGCTGGCACGTCTACATGAGATGACTTAATTCAGCCTCCAACATACCAATGACACAAAAGCATTGCTGTTTTGATAAGCAGGGTATATTGGTTCGTTTCTGTTATTTTTTCTTGATTTTCAATAGGTTTGACCTTGAACAAGTTAAATCCCCTCATCTGAATCAACTCTATTGAGGCAAGTCTTTAAGAAACAAAGTCAATTGATTGTATCATGGTTAGTTATGAATGACCAAATTGACACCAAAAACATTTAGTCAATCTCTACAATCCATATACCTTTTCTTAAATCAAACATGAATAAATAGCATGAGAAATTAAGTTGATTCTCGATATACATCAAACACACTTAATTTTGTTCAGTGCTTTGCTTTTAAACTGTCACTCAAGGAAGTAGAAATTAGAAACAAAACTCAATCACCTTGTTGAGCAGACAGAGCTTGATTTAATTTGAATTGATTCGTTTAATGTATTGTACAGTAGGTCTGTCATATTTTCTTCAAATAATGAATTTTTCTATTTGTTCTCTAGCCTGTTGTCATCCTCCACAAAATCCTGATATTTTGAACACACTTTGATTCCAACACCTACATTAGCTTTATTTCTGCCTTAAGATTTTCCACCTTCTTTTAGTTACTGAAGTTAATTGTCCCAATTAATCTGACACTGTGGACATATGGTACAATTACAAGCCAGATACTCTGTACAATGATTTCAGTCCAAGATAAGAAATTAGTATCATCAATATAGTTGCAGCTTAACTTCCCTGCAACACTGTAAGGAGATATTAAAGGAATTGCAGTATAATCTGATGAATCCTCATGTGCACAGCTTGTTTTTTTAGTATTTCTCTTTTAAATGGATCTTGTTTAAAGTACTAGCCTACAGGTCTGCCAAGTGTGACAGGTCTCTAGACATACAATATTGCCAAGATGCCTGCTTGTCTTGAGGACACAGTTTTAGTTCCTTAGGAAACAGAGAAGCCTCCTTGCTACAATATTGAGAAGAAAATTAAATAGAACAGCTGGTAAAAGTTTGGAAAACATGGGAGGACATATTCTCTGTTTCATGTTGATGATACAGATGGGAGACAGATTACATGTAAAAAATATTCTAAATTGAAAGAAACTGTTCTTCACATCAGTTTCTTGTGGTTACTTACTGGTCCAGGAACCTTTTCAAGCAGCTTGTTTCATGATCACAAAACCAAAGGACAGCCTCCTGTTTTCAGCTCTAAATAGTCACCTCTTAGTTGCCATGTGGTGCCATCAGTTAATTGTATTTGCTATTAGTCATGTTTGGTTCTCTGGTTTGCATTTTGTCAATACCTTCAAGATTTTCATTGTTTTATTAAACCGTTTGTAGTTTTTCTGTTTACTAAACTAAAAACTAAACTGAAGAGAAATGGTGTTTTTAACAACTTTGTGTAAGACAATCCTTTAAGTTTCCCTACTGATTACATGGTATGGGTGCCCTTTTGTATTTATCTTTTGTAAAGTATAAATGATGGGAATGCTTTTCATTTTAAATTTAATTTCTGATGGCTTTTGTATTAATACTGCAAATCATGCCAGGGTCTGGTATTTATGATGCATGTATGGCTTTTTCTCAAGTATACTGTATATCAGTGTAATACTGAATTTCCTACAGATAACGCTGTGGGGGGAGTGGACAGACTCAGTCCCAGAGTCCCATTTCAGTAATTTTATTTTAGGGTTAGGAGACAATTAGGTTTTCAACCAAACAGAAGAGAAATTGATTTGATGAAAGACTGTGAAGAAACTGGAGAAAATTCTTCTAGGTTTTTGTTGTTCAAGTATTTTACACTTTAGAATGCCTGCCTGGAGAATAAATGGTGTCTAATCCAATCAAACATGACATTAATTTGTAATGGAACATTTTGTTACTGTTTCCTGTAGGACAACTTAAGAATCAGAATTGACATGCAACTGACGAATGCTACTATATACCATCTCTAATTCTTGTAAATAGCCACACTAGGGGATATTAAATTAATAATAAATAAATCAATATTAAAACCCTTGGAATTTCTCATATATATTCTCATGTAAGTGTAATTAAGCTTTTGTTTCAGTTTTAATGGGCGGCCATGGTGCTAGTGGGTGTTGGGGGTTTTGGGTGCATTTTATTTGTTGAAGAGGATCCTGAAAAGGCCTACAATAAAGCATTCTAGACTTTGTCACCATCATGAGTTTTGTGCTTGCAGACTCTTGGTACATACCATGTTAAAAATGTTAGGACCTGTGACATCTGTCTTGCTGTCTGTGTAGCAGATCAGTTGTAGTTTTTGTTCTTAACATTTATGATGCTTGTGAACCATTTCTTCAAGGCAGAAATGAGTTAGAGGAATTCATCAAGCTAGCTACGATGACATATCTAACATTGCTTAAATAGGGTTTTCTAAATGTGAACAAAGAGGTTTTGATGTACTAAATCTAATTCTTCCTTATTTTCTTCAAATGATTCACTTGTTATCCAGCCTCTTATCATCCTCCACAAGCTGTGAATATTTCAAACACACTTTGATTCAAACACCTACATCAGCTTAATTCTTGGGTTCAGAATTCCACCTCCCTTTATTTACAGAGTTAATTGGACCAATTAATCAGATACTGTGGAACTTTTCCACAATTGCCTGTCAGCTGCTGTTTTAATGCAGCGACTGCATTGGCTTCAGAGCTTTGTGCAACACCCACTTCTTTCTTCACCAAATTCTCTTATTGTCAGCTCTGCTGTAGCTTGCTTTTGTGCCCTTAGTTAAAATGGGAATGCAAAACAGAAAGAAATGATAAATCAGCAGGAAAACAAAACAGTATAGCATACTAAAATGAAACTAAAAAAACAAAAGATGACAACCTATTATTGAAAGCATTGGTAATAATAGGATAGCCTGGACTAAAACAATTATTGCCTTAATGTTAAATTTGTTAGATTCCCTGAATGCCATTACCATCAGCTAAATTTCAAAACAACTGGTCAATATAAGGGTATCTACTAATGCTGCTCCTTAACTGTGTTCATTTCCCTGGAAAAAATGGAAGGGTAAGTAATGTGGTGGCATAGAAATCAGCCAATGCCCTATAAAGTAGTGTTATATCTGTAGACCTGCGCAAGAAAAGGGTGTGATTCTAAGATTTGGAAGATTTGGAGATAATGCAGTTTTACAACTGAGGGAAGAGTTTTCATGTTCAGTACTGTATTAAGGTTATATATTACAAGAAATAGTTTTTTTTCTTCAAAACAAAAACAGTATTATTGAACAAATGATTACAAATCTGCTGACGTGAAAAATGAAAAGATCCGCCATCTGAAAGCTGTAGTATGCATAATGTACATTATGCGGATGATTCCTATTTCATCAGCATTTTCCATGCTAATAATCATGAAATGATGCCTTTAAAATAGCATCTTGACAGATATTCCTTTAAAGAGGAAGGGAGTGCACCCACTTGTGAAAACTGATTAACTTAATAGCACAGATGATATAATTGAACTCTGGTATTCTTCAAATGGACAGCCGTAAAATAGGATGTTTGCGTTTCAGTCAGTGGCTACATAAAGCACAACAAGGCAATTATGTCCTTCTGCTCATTTTAACTCTGGAGTTTTGTGGGATTTTATATTGAAGGTTTTGAAGAAGAGAATAACCATAAATTCAGTGTTGGTGTATTGCTTTCCATATGGAAAAAAATACAGTAGGTCAAGAAAAAGCACAGAAATCATTCATCCAAGAAATATATTTATATGTACCTAATGAAAACTGCTCACTATACATTTGAACATTCTGTATAAAAACACAAAACTGTAAATAAGAGGAAGCTCTTTGGCCTAAGGAATAATGATGAAATGTTTTTGTACTTGCTTGTTTGACTGCTAGTGGTTAATGAACACAACAGATTTCTTGGATTTTCTTGGTCTGCTTCAGAAATGTGACTCATTAGTTTGTTTTCTATGTCCATGACACTTTGTTAAAAAAAAACATCTCCTGGTTTTCAGTCCTGAAGGTCTACAGGTCCTTATTCCATATTTGAGTTTGGAGTAATTATTTGGTTTGTTAGTGTCTTTCAGTATTCTGAATCCATTTGTAATCTCCCCTTTTTCTGCTGGTTCTTGACTAAATATATTTGATTGCTCTAACCCAGCGGCCTATCAGGAATTATTCTCATTCTTTTATGACCTTTTCCTGGAGTATATTGTATTGTGTTGCATTCTTGAAAAAAGAGAAGGTGACCTGGGCTGTGTAATTTGTCCATTCTAGAGGTGCCCCCAAGTCCAGTGAAGATGCTCCCCGAGACTTCACCTGTCACCTCACCCCGACAGAGGAGGGACTCGGACAGGTACTGCCAGCTCTGCAATGCCTGGTTCAATAACCCTGGAATGGCACAGCAGCATTACGATGGCAAGAAACACAAGAAGAATGCAGCCCGGGCAGATCTGCTGGAACAGCTGGGCAAGACACTGGATGTCAGAGAGCTCAAAGGTACGATACTTGAGTCGCAGCGCAGCGCATGAGTGTTTAGAGCAATCCAGGCTAGTTACCTCATATAAAAAATAAATCCTCAGTTTTAGGCTCATCACAGTGAACCTCCCCCACACTATAACTAACCTTTTGCCCTCCTTTCTTCTTCTAACTCTGTGAAGTGCCAGAACTGTAATAGTGTCATGGGCTGTTAAATTTCTCTTTGCAAGAACCAGCAGAAAAATGCTGTGGAGCACATTCTGTAATTGTTTCACGACCTGAATCATGTCAATAACAATTACAAAGCAATTTTGCCAACGACACATGCGATATTCCAGGACTTAGAACTGCAGATAACAACAGTTCAGCTAAATAGTTCTGTTTTGTTAATACGTTTAAGATGAGACTGCCTTTTGGAAAGAGATCTCATCTGCTAACTTCCTCCCACTCAATAAGTGAGATAGTTGATGTGGGGATGGAGAAGGGGAACCTATCATTGTGATGAAGTATTTCAGCATGTGATAATACAGAAGCTCTATATGCATTGTTGTGATCATTTAGGGAATATAACTATCTGACTTCTAGTTTCTTATTTACACTCTATTCATTTACTGTAAATACCTGCTTTTATTCATATTATCTGTCTATTAGCTTAATACTGTAGGTTTCACATTGAACACACAGAGTTCCTTAATGAACACCAGCTGGCATCCAGATAAGGATGTTACCTTCGTTTTTTGGTGTAACTGTTTTCTAAAACTCTTTCCAGAAATAACTAAGCTGCATTGAATCATCATTGTGTGTTATTTACATCCTCTCTCAAACCTTTAATGAACCTGGAGTTTTACATACTTGCTAAATCAGGAGCAAATGGGTATTAACGGTAAGAAAGGGTAACCATTTTCAGTGATTAATTGCCCCAGTTCAAGGGAGTGTGAATGTGGAGATTCATCAGCATGCATTGGCTATAAAGGAACAGCAAAGGTTAATTACACACTGAAAACTAGAAAGAAGAAAAACAATGTTTTGGCCATTTCGCCTTCTTCAGGAGTGAGAGTGAGAGAGGAAGGTACCAGGGATATACAGTAAAGCACATGGAAAAAGGATAGAACAGGTGAGGAAGAGTGTCCAAATAATGGGAGATCTGTGGAAGGAATGAAAAGGTATTGAGTACAATGAGTTAGTAAATATCCTAACAAACAGAAAAATAGGCTTTAGTGACTGTGGACTGGTAGCAAAACATATAAGGTGGCCTCATGCTGTTTAATTCATTGGATTGTACTGCTCGCTCTGTCACGGCAATATTTTATCGAGGAAGGTTCACACTAGGGCATGAAGGAAAAACAAATATAATATTACAAATGTTTAATGTTTTTGCAGGATTTTCCTGTGCTTGATTTTTATTTTCCTCTCAATTTCCATTCCAAGTTTGTTCTTTGCCTCCTTTGATGATCAACATCAAAAGCTTTGATAAGGAAAGTATATTCTAATCTGCTTTCAACAATTCTGTACTATTTAACACTGCAAAAGACCAAATGCTAAAATATGCATTGCTTTGTCAGAGCACTCAATACCATTTGTTATTGTTATTGATGTTTCTGGACCAACAAAGAGTTGGAAGTTTTCAGTAAAATTATATTACGCACCCTGTATTCAGGGCTTTTATATAGTTGTTAGGAGTGACGTTTAGGAGTACCAGGTTGGACCCTACGCGGCGCTGAGACTGTAGGCGGCTAGTGTTTGGTGTCCAAATCCCAAGGGCGAAAGGCAGAAGTCGTGGTAGAGGTTGGAAGGCTAGTTCGGGTATCAGAAGAGTCAGGTCGAGAGTATCTGAATCCAAAACGCAAGAGGAATTCGAAGCCAGAGAAGAAACAAGGTTGGGTATCCAGAAATCAGGTCGAGAGTATTACAGTAAATGCGCGAAAGGTTATTCTCAATAGTGAGCGGGGACTGAGTGGAGTGAGAGAGTATAAATAGGGAAGAGCGTGAGAAGTGACAATTGATTAATTAGTGCGCTTGTGTTGGCGGCGAGAGGTGCACGTAGGAATGCAGTTCATGACAATAGTAAAGAATGTGCTTATACAAAACATTTCCTTGGAAAACTAGATCAACCATCCATGCTATAATGTTCAAACAAATGTAAGAAAAGTTATCAATAGAAGGTGACTACAGCATATTTAGCCCATACTGTATAACTCATTAGTGTGCTATTTTATGAGATCCAAGGAAGTCATACAGCATAGCAGCTTCCTGGAAGATGGCGAGCATCAGCTTCAAAAGCAGCTTCAACTCCTACAACTATTTACTTGAGTGCCTTCTGGTTTGAAGTGTTTTTAAATACAGTACAGCAGCAACTGCAGAACCTGCACATTCAGGACTTATTGACTACAAGTTTTTGTCTGTGGAAGTTTTAAAAGTTTTAAAAGAATGCTACTTCTCCACCAACTCCTGACTCAGTTTTGTCATCGACTTTCCTGCCTTGTTCATCTTCCTTACACACCAGTTGTATCTCCACCCAGCTGGGTGTTCAACTGCCTATTTTTTACAATAGTGTAACCACGATTTCAGTGCTCTCTTATGCAGTTCCTCTGCTACTTCTAATCATTTGTGCTATAATTTCTTTACAATGATGTATTACTTCCATATTCTGAATCATAATTTATTTACTAACCAGGGTTTTGCCTTTTAACAAACACAAGACCCCTAAAATGCACATGGTTGAATCCACTCCATTTCTTGCAGAAAAAGGGAGTTGTTTTCAGTACCTAGAGTACATTAGTCATCTATATAAATTATAATAACCATATGCCATATCGAAATGTATGATATCATGAGTTTTACTATAAAAGGGTGAAATAAATTCTTTAAATTGCTAACCTACAGTGCGGCCTTACTTGAAAACATTGTTGTATTGCACAACCATATACATTTTCTGTATGTATATAACATGGTTTTAACAGACACAAAATAAGGCAAGCACTACATTCACATACTTGGCTTCCTGCCTGGAACAAACCCCTCTGAAGTGACACATTCACTTGCAGGTATCAGACAGAGGGAAAGCATTTAATAATCTATTTTCACCAAAGGAAGTTTAAAAATGAAATGACTTTGTCAAGCAGGCATTTTATTCATTGCTTTTCTCAAGATAGTTTGCAAGCCATAAACTGAATACTGCAATCTGGTAATGCTCAATGATCTTATGTAATATGTATAGTAATAGATTTGGGGAATACTGCACAAATCTAATTTTATAAGGTATGGAGAAACAGCCTGAGTACATATAGTGTTGTATACCCAGGGGTTGGTAGCTGTAACAGGATCTTTATGTAGACACACAAACCCAGTTGTAAGGTAAATGGTAAAAAAGTACATTTTTACAGTGCAGGGAAACAACCAAAAATAAAAACCTAGCTCTCTCTGAGCTTCTAAATGCAATTCTTCAGCCCCTCTCTAAACCATAGCTGGGCAGCTAAGCTGTTTACTGGCTTCGAAACATTGTTTCTTTCCAATACTCTTCTCAAAAACTCTTTTCCACAAAACTAAGTGTCTTCCTGAGACTCTTCAGATAACTCATGCAATCATTTCCCTGGGCTCATCAGTCAGTCGATTCCATTCTTCTGGTGCAGCACATAATAGAGGCTCAGCTAGCTCTCAAAGCAGCAGAGGCCAATGTACAGTACAATCTGGGGGCCTCCACTTTCTGGCTTTAATGTTCCTGACCAGTTGTCTTCCATCAAAACGTTAGAAGTAGTGATACTGGATAAGTGTAAAGGTTTACATTGAACACATTCACATTAAAGCCTTGCTTCCTTAAATTTCAGTGTTCAGGTGTTTAAGTAGGGTAAGATAATTTTGACTAGTACATAGTCAGGTAAATGTCTGTGGGGAATGGTACTGTAGCTCCATGAAACTCAGTGTGTGGTGATTTGCAGAAAAAAGGAGATTCAAGTAGTAGATGTATTTCTCTCTCTTATTCACTCCTCTAAAACTGAGAGAAGCACTACCTGGAAGGTCTGATGGGCTTGAGTTAACTGTAGTAACAAATACAGTAGATGCACTCACAGTTCCAATACCTGCATTGTAAATTAATGGAGGAAGCCTGTCTTCACACCCTAAGGCTAGCAGAACCCATGGGCCCAAGGTTTCCTGGTAAAGCCATGACGTCCAAAATACAAGAAGGTATAGAGAAGTAGATCTTTAAAAAAAATTATTTGTTGAGAATATACTGGGTACTGGATTTTACATTACCATGTTGCACAAGATGAGAAACATTAGAAACAGAGCTTGTATTTGTTTTTTCCTCTCAGTGAAATATAATAATACTTGTATCTTTTCTCCATCTTTTTTTTTTAAATTATCACAACAGAACAATCAGTCGTTGCAATTTCAATGTTTTGCTTTGGCTGATTCTAACTCAGGGTGGGAAAGTGATGCAGTGGTGAACGTCATTGCCTCACCAGAGTTCCTGGACCTGGATTGCTATCTGCATGGAGTTTTTATCTTCTACCCATTTTTCATGGGTTCTTGCTGGGTGTGCCCCACAATCCAAAGACATACTTGGTAAATTGGATTCTGAGACAACTGATCATGGTGTCAGTATATGCGTGTCTGTGTGTACCTTGCAATGGACTGGCATCCCGTTCAGAGTGAATTGGATGAAGTGGTTAGAAAATGGATGGATGAGTAGACTCTAACTCACAATAAGTGTGTTAATGGTCTGATGAGAGGCAGACTTTCAAATGTTAAGCAATCCCAGAGCTTATCCTGAAAGCATAGGGTATAAGGAAAGACTGCAACATAGGTAGGACCGCATTGTATCACAAGATGCATATGCAGGGCCACCTTAGAGATCTCTATGAAAAAAGACAGCATGTCTTTTTAATAATGAAGAAAACCAGCACATTTTGAGAAAGCCCAAGCTGATTATTTTTGCATTAAGTGGTATACAAATTACTTTCACCTTGATTGGCCTTGTTTGATCAAATAGAGAAAAAGACACTCCTTTGGAGTGTATTTTT